TCATGAAGATTTTAATAGTACAGACATTGTATAAGCAAGGGCTTGTATGTATCTGGTCCTGCACTGTGGCAATACTGTGGAGTAAAGGACCTTTTGAGTCCTTTGCAGACTTTTGTGTGAAGCAATTGCACTTTCCTGCCCACTGATATTTTAGTCTAATTTCCTCAAGATGTACTTCTGCTGCACTTTTAAGTTCAGATATTTGTGTTAAGTTGCATCTTTGAATCATTAGCATTTGGGCAGTGGTTTGTGGAGGCTTTCCAACTAGTGGCTCTTTATAAACATCTCTCTCTCCTGCCAGTAACAGACTTGATCTCTGTCCCATTCCCCAAGAAAGGTAATCTTCAGATAAACTGGAGTACATTACCGTATTTCCTGTCTTTGGACACTGGCTTCTTACTATCTTGGTGAATCTGGGTGTAAACACTATGGAAATCACTGGGATTTTAGTTCTGAAGCCTTTTCTGAATCTGGGCGTTGTTCTGTTTTTATTTTTTTTATTGAAAGCACCAGCAGAAGCAGTGATCCTGCTTCTGCTTAAATCTGCAAGAATAGAAGGCACAGGCAAGGCAACTGCATCACAACTGTGGAGTTCATTTTTAAAATACAACTGCTAGAAGAAATCTGGGAATGAGTGTGGAAAATATATGGACTCTGAACCTGTATTTGCTTTTGTGGATCTCTTATAGGCTTTGTTGTTGACAGGTATCTAGAGAGCTACGTAAATCTTCACTGTTGGGTCAGACTGGGGGATCAGGATCACAGTTCAGGAATGTGTTGGAAGAGATGCTTTTGTAGAGTTCTGAAAGATGCCAAAATGTTATAGTAGTGTCACAAACTTATTTATTACTTAGTTTGTTTGCTTTAAATCTACATACAAGCTTGACTTCAGGGGGTGTTGTGGAAGTGTATAACTGACAACATCTGTATTTCAGTTTAATGGTGTTAAGGGAAAAGGTAGGACGGTCAGATGGAAGGAGAATCTTACAGACACTGGCAGACACAACTGATTTACAGGCTGAGGATGTCAGCTGGGAACTCGCACTGCGTGGCGTGTCTCTAAACCCAGGCTTCGACGGGTGGCTCAAGATGCGCAGGCCGGGAGCGGAGGCCCCGCCGCGTTCCGTGCGGGGCGGCCCGAGCCGTGCCCGCCCGTTGGCTGCGGGGCCTGCCGGGCTCGTTGGCTGCGGGGCTTTCGGCGGGCTCGGTGTCTGGGCCCCCTCCGCCCC